GCTCATGTGTTCCTTTTATCTTTAGCCCAGCTTGAGCTTTGCCTCCCATTCAAATTCAGCCTTTTTATTTTGGCATTGGCCTTCTGTGTTAGTCCAGGTAGACGAGAAAAACACATTCATAGACACTCACGTGCACAAGAGAAAGTTTTATATCAAAGAGCAATTGTACATTAAGAAAACATCCCAGATCAAGTCCCTAAGTCCAATATTAGCCCATATGTCCAGTATCAGTCTATGCATTCCTCTTCAGACTCACGCAACACATGCAATGACGCTGAATGCAAGATCCCAGGCCAGTGAGTGGAAATTCTTGTGGGTCCAGTGGTGGTGGAAGCATCTCAGCACTGACATGGGTCTCCACGTGGCTCCTCAACTCCAGGGCTCTGGCTCCATCAGCCTCTCTCCATGTGGCTTGTTGTTAAGTAATGTCTTGCAGAGAGAAAGGGTGTCCCGTCTCCAGCAAGCTACGTATCTCCTTAGCAGATCCAAATGAGGTCATCAAGCTGCAACGTGATTGACGGGCAGGCTAAACTCCATCCCTTCACTCTTAAGTCTCAAATTGATGTAACAGATGATGTAACTAACACACCTGGATTCCTGTCTTAAAACTTAGTTTTTATAAAGGGTAAAATAAGTAACAAGAGCAATAATAATATGTAGAAAAGAAAAAAATACAAAATAGTCTTCTTTCTTCAATCTCCAAATAAACAGAGAAAGAAACGAAAGTTAGTGGATAGTGGATCGTCTAAGATGTAATTAACTCAGTTACGATAGAATTTCCTTCATTAGGAAGGTCATCTGAGAACATACCACTCGTAGCTCATTTTTCACTCTAGAGTATTATTATTAATTGAAAATATTTAATTGACTTTAAAACTCACTGCAATGTGTAAGGGGCTATGATATATGGTTTATAACATTCTCCAAGTTACCACATCAGCATCATTTCACAAGTAGGCAAACAGCCACAGCTGGTGTTAGAAGCAGGTTTGAACCCAGATGTGCCTGACTACAGAAATGACGTTCTTAACCACTCTTCCACTTGCTGTTTTCAAAACATGGGAGCGCAACAGACTCACTGGAGGCTGAGAATCCTTTTTTCATCTTATTTTCAGGTTGTTCATTTCAGTAAGAATCAAAACACTACTATATTCTAGGTCCTCTGCTGAAATGAATTAGCTCTAAACAATAACCACTCTCTTCCCCCTCAAAAAAAACAAAAAACAAAACAAAAACCCCACCTCACTGCCATTGAACCAGTTCTGACTCACAGAGAATTGCAGAACAAAGTAGAGCTGCTCCTGTGTTTTCCAAGGCTATAAATCTTTCTGGGAGCAGAAAGCTAAAACTGAGTTCTTATAAAAGGTAAAATGAATAACAAGAGCAAGAACAATAATACATAGTAAGTGAACAACAAACCAATCAGTTACTCCTCTTTCTTCACTCTCGAAATAAACAGAATGAGATAAAAGTTGATGTATATCTTTGTTGCTGGTAACATATAATTAATCTTTCTCCCCCCAAAGTGGCTGATAGTTTTGAACTGCTGACCTTGAGAGTTAGAAAACCAATTTGTAATCCATTACACCACTAGGGCTCCTAATCAGATCTAGAATATTGAAATTAATAAAATCTAGATAAATCTCGTCCTTAACTTTGTAAGTTAGTTTTACTATATGATAAACATTACTCTAGAGAAGTAAGTACGTGCTACGTTGTTGTTGTTGTTTGTTGTTGTTGTTGTTAGGTGCTAGAACAGGGTAGAAGGATAAAAGGAAGGGAACAGGAGAGAAACTGGTCTTGAAAAGGCACTGGTGTAAACATCCTCACTCTGGAGGTCAGGAAGTAGAGTAACCTTGAAGAGAGAACATTTCTGAAGAACCAGCTCCTCCGATGAGTGTAAAATTATTCTCAGGCCCCTGAGGCAGAAAAATGGAATTGAAAGATAATGGAATTTTCCCATAAACTTTTGAAGACCACTCATTTAATCACCATTCACCAAGAAAAATAGATTAGAAAGGCCACCGAGTCCAACAGCATTAGAACAGGTGGTGGTGACAAGAAAGGAGGGTCCAGACAGACAGGGTACATGGTGACAGACAGCTGAAGACCGGGCAAGTTGAGGATATTCACACTATTTTCCCAGAAGAGGGAAGTCACCTACTAAAAATGTTATGTTTGAGACCAATGTTCACCAAAACAAACTGTGCAATATACACTAAAATAGACATAACAATAGTTTATCCTCACATAATTCATTTGATAAAAAGCACTCATATTTATCTCACAGAATTATCTCAATACCCTGGAGGTGCTGGTGGATGAACACCTTGGCCACAATCTCACAGCCAGGAAACAGCAGAGGCAGAAATCAAGTTTCTAGATTTAAAACCTGTTGGGGTAGTGGTTACATGCTGGGCTGTGAGCCACATGGTCGGCGGTTCTAAACCACCAGGAGCTCCCCAGGAGAGGGGCTGGGCTTTCTACTCCCGTAAATAGCTACAGTCTCAGAAACTCACAAGGGGTCGCTATGAGTCGGCATTGATTTGATGGCAGTGAATTTGGTTTGGTTTGGGTTTGGTTCTATGGCACCACAGTTGTTGTACTGTGGTTGTTATGTGCCCACTCACAGAAGCCCTATTACAACATACAAAATGCTGTCTGATCGTGCACCACCCTCACAATGATTGTTTTAACCCACTGGTACAGCCACTGTGTCAATTCATCTCATTGGAGGTCTTCTTCTTTTCACACCAAGCATTTTCCAGGAACCAGTCTGCTAGCCTATCTAAAAACTTAATCGGGCAAGTTTAGCGGGAAACTGGCAATCATAACATACTCCTTTGCAGTACTCAACCGATGCTTCTAATAT